TGGCGTTCACTTGGGGCCGTCTTTGACAAATAACACACATTCCCCACCTGCCCCCTAACTTTTCCTGATGAACTTTGATTACTGAAAGAGCAGCCAAAGCTACCACTCAGAAAGGTCTGGTCAATGTTAGCTGTGGTCCCAAGAAGCACAGTGTTTGTCAATAACTTTAGGAAGTCTAATTTATACAAAACACTAGTCATACGATTAATTTATGTGATAGCATAAAAGTGAAGGGTTAAGAGCTAAAATTCTGATTCCACCATTAATAGCTGTGTGATCTAAGCAGAGTCCTCGTCTTCCTGTGCCTTACTTTCCTCTTTTGTAAACTATAGATAGCTACACCTCCACCGTAACATTGCAATAATTAAAATTGCTAATGTATGGGGCCTCCCCAGTGGCGCAGCGGTTGAGCGCTGGGCTGCGAAGCTCCCCGCAGCCTCTGCAGCGCCGGCTGCCAGGCGAGGGTCCCACATGGCGCGCAGGCCTCTCCTGTTCCCCTCAGCAGTGTCCTCCATCTGTCTGGCTGTTCTCTTCCCCGCTCTGGCTCTGGTGAATTCTCTCACCCTCCCGCACTTCTGACTGTACCAGTGCTTGTATAAATAAATAAATAAAATCTTTAAGAAAAAATAAAATAAAATCGCTAATGTATGTGGGCTCTGGATGTTTTAAGTTTGGTTACTTCTAATTTCTTTTAATCAACTTTTTACAGCTGAAATCAGACACATTTTCATGGAATCAGAATTTGCACACTGTGGCTAGCCTAAGCAAAATGAAGACAGTGTCTAAACCGAGCAGATAGCAAAGAGTGGTAGTTACCATTATGTATCATCTGGTTGATCAGAACCTGTGCTCACACAGCAGTGCTGAAATGAGAAAGATCTGTGTTCTTAGAGTTGACCCAGGTTAGTTCTTATTCACAGCAGAATAATTTCCTGTGCAAGTAAGTCTTTCAGGCACCCTAACTTGAAATGACGAACAGAAGTATCATCTGCTTAGTATGGAAAAAATAATAGCTTCTCTTTACTGTGCAAACAAAGCAAATAACGTCAGTGGTTGTCAGCAGGTTGACTTGCACAGGCAACCTTCAGCTTGTGTGGGACAGCAGGTGGCTGTGCCCTCAGAGTCTCTGGAAGGCAGCGTTGCCCTAAGCATGCTCCCACTCAAAGGGGAGCGGCTAATTGTAGAATCTAGTCTGACTTATAAACCACGGACTATCATTTTCAAATAAATTCTGCTTTTCAAAGCTATTTGCCCAGTGGCATCCGTTGAAAGTGGAGTTATGCTCTGGGAGAGAGAATGGATAAGGGGACTTGAACTTCAGTATCTCCAGTGACTCAAGGTCAGAGTGCAGGCAGGGTACAAGCTTCCCTCCCAGGCCTTGTGGGCAGCCTGCATAGACATCATTGATGATGACAATGGCCATTGTACAATCATGTCACTTTTAGGGCCATATAAAAAGGCAATGCAGATTGAGTAGTTTAAATGACAAAAGTTTGTTGGTGAACTGTTCTGAAATCTAGAAGTCCAAGGTCAAGGACTTCTAGATTCTAGCAGGACGAGACTCCTAGCAGGGCTGTGTCCCCCACCCCGAAGGTGTTTAGGGCAGGATTTGTTCTGGGCCTCTCATGGCTTCTGGGGGGTTCCTTGCCTGTGGCAACACAGCCCTAGTCTTGACAGAAGCCTTCTCCCCATTCTCCTGATGTGTCTGTTTCTTCACCTGTTTGTCTTTTTTCATTTTTTCCCTACCTTTAGAAGATTGAAATAACAGTGGTTTATAGCATTATATAGGGCTCAGGTGTAGAGAAACATCTGTCAACATCTGTATATATTGTATTATGTTCCCCCTGAAAATCGAGTTTCCATCCTTCATCCATTGATCCCTTATACCCCATTTACCCACCCTCTTCCATCTTCCCTTTGGCTACTTTGTTCTTACAGCTTAGAGTTTGTTTTGGTTTCTTTATATTCCTCATACAAGTGAAAAACAGGCAGCGTTTGTCTTTCCTCTGTTTGACTTGTTTAACTAAGCTTAATACTCTCAAGATTCACCCTTGTTGCAAATAGTAGAATTCCATTTTATTTCTTTTTTTTTTTTTATAGCTGAGTATGAATCCCTTATATATATATACACACCATTATCCATTCATTCCTAGAGTGGCGCTTAGTTCACTCAACCCTTAGTGTTGGGGAATAATGCTATAATGAACTTGGGCATGTGTTTATCTATCCTGCATATGGTTATCCAGTTTTCCCAATACCATTTAGTGAAGAGAATTTTCTAACTCTGTTGTATATTCTTAGCTCCTTTGTCATAAATTTTTATTGTTCTGGTCAGACCCTTGTGAAGGGATTGTTATTAATAATTGTTCTAACATACGCTGCTTAAACTGAGGCTACCTTAGGCCAAGCTGGACATATGGGCACTGTCCCTAAGAGATAAGTAGAATTTATCTCGTATCTTAAAGGTTCCATGAGGTTGAGCAACTTCCCCCAAATTAAAACTGGAAAGAATTTGAGAAGCGTTCAAACCCAGGATGGTCAGATTTTTTTTTTTTTTTTAGAGGCATGTTTTTATTTATTTATTTGTTTGTTTGTTCGTTCGTTTTTGTTTATACATGCACTGGGTACAGTCAGAAGCGCGGGAGGGTGAGAGAATTCACCAGAGCCAGAGCGGGAAGCAGAGCAGGCAGAAGGACCGAAGTACACTGCTGAGGGGAGCAGCGGGCGGCAGGAGGGGTCTGCGCGCCATGTGGGACCCTCCTTCGGTGGCCGGGGAGCAGCCGGGGATCGAACCGGCGCCGCAGAGGTCGCCAGCAGCTTTGCAACCCAGCGCTCAACCGCTGCGCTACTGGGGAGGCCCCAGGATGGTCAGATTCTAAAGCAGGAAGGAAAGCTATGCTTTTAAAAGAAGTTAATCTTCATGTATAAAGGGGAACTCTCTATATTAGGACCTTAGGTACAATAGATTAATTTTTTTATGTTTCTCTAAAATGTCTTTGTATTCTTTAACTGTAGCTCTTTCCTTGCTTATCACTTTTAGTTTTTATGAAATGAATAATATGTATATCATATTAGATTTAATTTCCATGCTAACTACAAGTCGTAGCTGGTTATTTTATTGCTATTTGGAGAGCAAGATCCTACAAAAAGCTGTGTGTTACAAAGGGAATTACTGTGGATATTAGATTATTTTAGACTTGCTAAAAAATTCTGAAGTATATTTTGTAAGTGCAAACCACTTTACTGGCTTTATCATGCTTTATCCATTATCAAGATATGACTTATTGATTGATCTGGCAAAATAAGCTCATTAAGAAGGATCTGTGTTAGCAAACTTCAATATCTGTCACTCAAGTAAAACTTTCTTTGAAAATGTAAAAAGTTAATTTGCTTTTCATAGTTTTTGAATAAGAAAATAAAAATTGCGTAGTTCAAGATTTAGATTCAACAGATCTGGAATTAACATCAACACATCAGTGTAGGTTTACGACTATATTTTCATATTGTTGCAATAAAGCCCATATTCTTTGTGGGAAGCACCCCTTCCTCAGGCCTCACTGTGACGATGGACAAATTCCAGGGCAGTTGACGTGGTGCAGAGCTCAATTATTTCTCACAGAAGAAGCTGACGAGTCTGCGAGGTCATTCTAGAGTCCTTTTTCTAGTGGGTGTTGTCATTGTTATTTTTAGGGTATTATTTTTTCCATTTGGGGTGTTTCATCATTTTATTTTTTAAAATATTTATGCATACAAGAGTTGGGAGTAGGCCAGAGGTGCGGGCGGTGGGGAGTGAGAGGATTCACCAGAGACAGAGCGGGGAACAGAACAGGCAGACTGACGAAATACACTACTGAGGGGAGCAGCGGGCAAGACAGGAGAGGTCTGCTGTGTCTTGTGGGTAGCTGCCTGCCTGGGGATCGAACTCTGCTGCAGTGGCTGCCGATAGCTTCATAGTGCTGAAACTTAACCCCTTGCGCCACTAGGGAGGTCCCAGTTTCATAATTTTCCAGTGCCCAGGCCAGTGGGAGGGTGCCTGGGGCTCCTCCAGGAGCGGAGTTTGGGGGGATGCGGTGGTATTGGGGCTGTGCTCGGGATGCTGCTGATGACAGGCCTCCAGCAGCACAGAGCAAGGCTGCAGGGGAGCAGGGGCATCAGAACCCAAGAACGTGCCCTCGTGTCTGCAGCAGGGACGGGGGAGGCCGGGGCGGCCATGGAGCCAGGTGACTGAGCCCCTTTGTTGACCTGAGAAGGGGCTCTGGGGATAATATGAGCGGTTCTGCACCGGATCAGATGAAAATCAAACTGACATGAGAGGGTGGAGGAAGGGCATGCACGCCTGTGTCTGAGGAAAACACAAGTTTTATTTTGCTGAAGGCAAACACTTTATTGCTTCGACCTCTGGTTGCAGCAGGGTCTAACCTCCTTCCTGACAGGTACATCGTTAAGTGGAGGAATAAATAAATGAGTGATCTTGAGTCACTGCCCATTTTTGACCTGAGGCTACCTCCGAGTCCGCCTGAAGATCACATTTTGTCACTTCACAGCGGAATTAAAAAAAAAAGGGGGGAGGGGGGGCGGGGAGGTGTGTGTACGTTTCTTGTCCTCTTGTTGTGATGATTATTTAGTTTAACAATTTGTGGTTATTTAACACACACCCGTTTCATGAATTCGAGAAATTCATCGCCTTGAGATACAATATTTTGTATCGATGAATAATTGTATCAGTACCCTCATAAAGGTCTGTACAGTGGCAGAATAAGCTGATTAATAGGAAATCTTTGTAATGAATCTATGAAGATCAGAGATTAACTTGGGCCCCCGTGTTACAAGGACAGCAGAGCGAGCCGGCTGCTGGCTAGTGCTGACCTGCCGAGCCGACCACCAGCCGGGCCCAGAGCCGCTCCTGGCCAGGCCGGGGCCCGCTGCGGGGTCTAGGGTGGGGTCGGGCAGGGTGTTCATCTCTATTTTGATGTTTTTCTGACCCAGCCGCTTCCTTGCAGGTGAGCGGCCTTATCAGTGTCCTTACTGTGAAAAAGGATTCAGCAAAAATGATGGCTTGAAGATGCATATTCGCACGCACACCAGGGTAAGAACTTGTGCTGTCTTGTTAAGATTGACTGTATAAGCCATGCTTGCTTTTTTTTTTAAGGTATTTGACTTCACATGTCCCTGAAATTCTATACTTACAATGAATCACTGGGGATACGCTTAAAAAACAGACAAAATAATGAAAGAAACAAAAATCCAGACCCGAAAAGGGGCTCATTCTAGGAATTGTGAATCGGTTTTCAGGAGTTGTAGGGGTTACCAGTCACAAATTGCCAAAAAGGTGGTTAATGTTTTAATGCTAATAAAATACCGAGGGGCCGTCTTGCAGAGGACTCCCCAGGAGCAGGAGCCTTCTTGGATGGAGGTGAGTGTCTCCGCATGGGAGCTGGTATGTTTGTAAGAAAGACATTGACAGTTGTCAGTTCCTGGGGAGGTGGTGAGCCTGCAGGCGCGGCCTGGGGCAGACCGGCATTCATTCTGATGTGCCCTCTGTCCAGCTGTCGGCCTCTCCCTGGACGGCTGTCACTCTGGTCTGTTTCTTATCCATCCAGATACAGCTGTTAGCTCCCTGTTCAGTTTTGGGCCCAGTTAAATCCTTCCTGTGAACTTGCAACTTGGAAAGCTGATGTTGTCAGTAGCTCCTGTTGATTTTGCTCTTCAAATCTTTTTTACGTCGGCATTGCCTTTCACATGCTTGCTTTTTCCTTCAGGCTTCTAGAGGTGCTTAAGGTCTTTATCGAAATAATAGATTTTTTATAAATTTTAAGAGACTTGCCCAAGGTCCTGCAGAGTGATTCTAATTTGGATCACTCCTGGATTTCACTTTTTACCTTTGCTCTGAAATAAAAACTTAAGAGAAAAAACCTAGTAGTAATATCCTGTCCAGTATAATCACCTTCTAGCTTTCTGCCCTATCCTGTGAGGCATGAAAGATACTTCTGAGGTCTGTTAAGAAAATACTTTACTTTAGTGGTGACGGAGACAGGCCATTCTGTAGCTGACGTCTCACTTGAGCATGTTTACTGTAGATGAAAAGTAGAAATTTGAGATTGGGGGATAAAATTGCTTAGTAAACAATATACAGGAGTAGGCAAGCATTATTGTTCTTGATAATGACTTACATGTATATGTTCCAAATACTTATTTTGCACTGAGCATCAGTATAAGTTTTAGTCTGGCTTAGGAGGTAGATTACTTTACATGTGTGCAGGGGACAGGCTGTGTCACTGTGTTGTAAAGATGTCAGCATACAGGCAAAGGGGCTGTGCTTCCTCTTAGGGAAGCCAGGGGTGCTTACTCCAGCCTGGGCATCCTGGGTGCATGCAGTCCTGTCTCCTGTGACTGCTGGGGAGGGACATGGAGGTACCCCAGGAGGAGCTGTCAAAATTACCTCGGGGAAAAATACCTGATGGGTTTCTGTCAAGAAAGTGCCCTCTGCCTGTGTCCACTCCTCTGCCTGTTCTGGTGACCTCAGCTCACGAAATAGCTCATGACCCTTTGTTCAAATCTGATGTAGATTGATCCAGGGTTTCCTCATTGTGGGTCCGGGTATGTACCTTGGGTGTTTCCACAGCCATTGATTCTTGGCTGTCTAAGTTTGTCGGGGTGACTTCTCCCACTTAATGCCTCTCTTTCCCCTGGCAGGTGGTAGAAGGAGGAAGTCATATATTCCCCATGGGGCTGGCACCTGCTTTCAGAGGGGCTCTGTCCCCAGGGTATGGGGAGCTGGGGGTGCCCATGCAGGGCCTGGCGATCCTTCCTGCTGTGTGTCTGGTCTTAGCCACCTGCCCTCTCCTTCCCACTCATGTGCATTTTTATTTCCATGTGTGATGGAGAAAACATTTCTCGAGAGGGAAGGGACTCTTGTAGGGGAGCTGTCTTGGTTTGGACGACACTGTGGCTGCAGCCCAAGCCTTTATAAGACACCCTAGAGAGGAAATAGGAATTTGCCCTGAGCTTTCAGCTGTGGAGATGTTCCAGGCACTCCTGCCAGGTCCTTTCTCCTGATCGCTGTTGTCTTTTGTCTACAAGGGCTCCCTCACCACTCCAAACTGTGTCTGAGCTAAATAAGTGTCCGTTGCTTAGTTCTTTCTGTGTAATGTTTCAAGCCCACTTGAGCATGTAACTTAGGAACTGCGCATCATCTGGACATGGTGGGCCTTGGGTTTTTATTGTCTTAGACACTTTGAGCCAAAACACTCGCCAACACATCACCATTGTGTAAACATCAGGTTGAAAAGAAACTGTGTTTTTGTAGCTATTTCCCACAGAAGGCTGGGTGAAGTCTTGTTGAAAAATCACTTTTGATTTTCAACATGAAAAGCAACTGAACCAATTAGAAAGTTATTTGGGAAACTGCTTTTTGAACACGGGTGAAAAAAACCCGAGGAGCTGACCCAAGTTTCAGGGTTCAAACATCACAGCTGTCTATTCAGCCTTTGCATGGCAGCCAGATGAGCGCCTCCAAATATTTTAAATGGAATTAAAAGTAACGGCAGGTCTTTTGTTTTGTTTTATATTTTGTTCGTTTTTATTTTTTTCGTGAGACTTCCTACCTCTGGTTCCCACACGGTTCAGCAATTTCGCGGGTTTATCCAATGCCTGAACTTTGCACTTGGTTCTGACCCCAGGCAGAGGGGCGCTGAGTCCCTAAGTCCAGGCTGGGGTGGGTGTCTCGGTTCCTAGGCTTCAGTCTCTGCCGGGTTTATCCAGAGGCTTTGAGGAAAGATGCCAGTGGAACAATGTGAAAAAGCCCCCAAACTCCTGCCACCCGCTGCTCCCCTCAGCAGTGTACTTCGTCAGTCTGCCTGTTCTGTTCCCAGCTCTGGCTCGGGTGAATTCTCTCACCCTCCCGCGCTTCTGACTGTACCTAGTGCTTGTATAGATGAATGAATAAATCTTAAAAAAAACAAAAAAAACAAAAAAAAAAAAAACCTGGCCAGAGCATCTAGCCGGTGAATCACGGAGGTGCCATGTAAGTGTGATGGGGTGAAGGGATAAGAAAAGTGAGTTCATTATGGGGAAGTTGTTGGAGTTGGAGCCAGAAGATAATACTAACTGGAAGAGGGTGCAAGAAGAATTTCCCTCGCTGCAGGAGCATCATATAGGGTCTCTGTCCCTTTGATTGAAAGCAGAAAGGACCTTCGAAGGGTGGAGAATCAGCTTGGACCCCCCGAGCACATTATGAGGCATGCACAGAACACCCAGGACACAGAGGCAGAAGTGGGCCACGTGAGCAGGTGGGGTGGTGAGTTGATTCTAGGTGGCATTTCTGTTCAGCTTTTGAAGAACCTGCAGGAGGGTAGCCTAGGGAGGTATGACTTCGTGGGCCAAGTGAGAACAGATCCTGCAGATCCCGCGGGGGGCTGTTCACTGAGTCAGTCTGAGGATGCATGTTTGAAGCCTGACCGAGGTTAGCCGGGCCAGGACTGAGGCATTGATCCGAATGCTGAAAGCGTGCTCTCTTCCTTGGAGTGAGTTGTTCAGCTCTCTTGGAAAGGTTGCTCTGCAGTCATCCTCGAGGAAGAATGGAAAGAGGCAGGGCTGGTGCAGGGAGACCCAGCCAGGTCTCTGGAGCCCAGTGAGCGAGACTGCGAGCCCACAGGACAGGTGGTCTTGGGGTTTGTAGGTAGGGCACCTCCCGAGTCGTGCTGACAAGGTGTGCACAAGCCATGCAGTTCGGTGAGAAGAGTAAGGAGTCCCGGGTGATGCTGGATCCCTAGAGAGGGCACTATGGGGTCTGCTGATGTCCACGTGGAGGAGGGCGTGTGGCTGGTGGATTGAGAGGAGAGGGAGGGGGTGCCCTCCTCGTATGGGTGAGGTTCTTTGGAGCATGCGGGTTATTTTTGGTTTTACATCTAGATAAGAGGAAGAGATGAAAAAACACTTTTAAAATTTTTTTTAAAGATTTATTTATGCTGGGCCTCCCCGGTGGCGCAGCGGTTGAGCGCTGGGTTGCGAAGCTGCCCGCGGCCTCTGCGGCACCAGTTCGATCCCCGGCTGCTCCCCGGCCACCAGAGGAGGGTCCCACATGGCGCGCAGACCTCTCCTGCCGCCCGCTGCTCCCCTCAGCAGTGTACTTCGTCATTCTGCCTGCTCTGCTCCCCGCTCTGGCTCTGGTGAATTCTCTCACCCTCCCGTGCTTCTGACTGTACCCAGTGCATGTATAAAGAAAACAAGCAAACAAACAAACAAATAAATAAATAAAACATGCCTCTATTTAAAAAAAAAAAAAAGTATATTAAAAAAAAAAAAAAAAAAAAAAAGATTTATTTATGCATACAGGAACTGGGGTACAGGCCAGAGGTCAGGGGGTGGTAAGAGAATTCCCCAGAGACAGATTAGGAAGAATAGGCAGATGGACTGAAATACACTGCTGAGGGGAGCAGCAGGCGAGCCAGGAGAGGTCTGCTGCGCCATGAGGGTATCTCCCTGGCCAGGGATGGAACTCGTGCTGCAGTGGCTGTGGACAGCTTCATATGCTGCGACTTAACCCCTCGTACCACCAGGGAGGCCCAAATAAACACTTTTAATAACATTTTTAAAAACTTACAATTAGATTATACAGGAAACTTTGAAATGTGTTGCCATCTTTTATTTTTCTGCACTTCATCAGCTTTTGTGTTGTGGGAGTAACAGCATATGGCTCATTGCCACTGTTTACAAATACCTTTAATTGGCTTTGGAGTTAATCTTGTATTGTTTCTAGAACCCATGTAGTTTTCAGGAAATTTTATTTGCCTGGCAAATGAATTATGGAAGATGGATGGCTTTAAGATACTATCTTATTTTATTTGTCTCGGAGATTCTACCTTCGTGAAATTGAAAATTCTTATTCTGTTGCAAAAAAAAAAAAAAAAAAAAAAACTGCCTTTCCTTGTAAAAGTAAAGCCAGAGCATTTGAATAAAAGCTTCCTTTTCAGGGACTGACAGCATCATTTTCTGCCTTTCTGTGAAATGTCATTGTGACGGTCACCTACTTGGTTAGGAGTGGCCTGGGCTGCTTCTCTGCTGCTGTGCCCATGAGCCAGCCCTCTTGAAGTCACCAGCAGAGAGAGTTTTCAGTTCCTTGGCTAGGAATACTTTTTTGGCAGAGCAGATGATGTTCCTAAAATTAGGACTGTGGCCCAGGCCTTCTAGAGCAGGATGAGTGGTTCCTGAACTCCCCTGGGCTTTGCGAGTAAGAGATGAAAAATTGGATTCCATCCACTTGATAGATGTATGGGGTGGATGTATTATCCAGTAGGAAAGTAGTCAAAAATCTTTTAAGGAGTTAAAATCTGTTTCACTGTATTTGGGGTTACAGGACTGGAAATACATTCATATGAGGGATTGGACTGGACTCAGGCATCAGAGGTGCCTTTTCTGCAGTTTTTTAAAACGTGATACTTACCATTGCATTCAGTATTTCTATGCCTAACTTGATTTTGGGAGGAAAAATTGCAGAACCATCCTGGAGTCTCCACGGGCTGAGCAACAATGATGCATCCGCCAGTGTGTAGCAGATGTGATGCTCAGGACCTCAGGGGTCATAAGAGACCTGGCAGCACTTGCCTGTGTGTGTCTCTTGGCACTAGTGCCCGTGCTGGGAGGACCCCAGGTCATGTGGAGGAGCCACAGGCACGTGCTGACGCCGCTCTGGCCACTCAGTAATTTTGAGTATGAATCCAGGGAAGCCTTGAGATGAGGATTCAGCTGGGGGTGGCCCCGGGCAGCTGCAAGAGAGGCTGGAAATAGGCTGCTGCAGCAGCTAGTCCCACCCTGGAGCCAGGAAACGTAGGCGTTTGAAGTCATTACGTGTTGGAGCGTTCTGTTTTGTAGTAGCAGGTGGCTAGGACAAGTGCTGATGGTTGCACAGCGCTGAGTAAGTGCAGTTCTGCCATCCTCAGATGGCCCGAGGGGACAAGCACATGTGCAGTCAACAAGCACAAGCACTTGTGACATGCGCATGGTGTGCCAGAATGGTGTGGTCACAGGTCGGTCCTGTCTTGTACCCATCAGGAAGGATGAACATTATTTTAAGTAATAAATCTAACAAGTGTGCAAAGCCATGGAGCTGGGAGTCCTCAGGCTCGGTGTCTGGCAGGCCCTTCCCTGTTGGGATGGTTGTGTGTGCGGTTCACCTGCTTCTCTGCTTTTACCCAGGTGACAGCGAGTAAACAGGTGACTGTCTGCTTGCTGCCCCGAGCTGCTCGTGTGGCACTAACGTCCCCTAGGCCTTTCATGGCATCTAGATCTAAAGGCTTTGCTTGTGGAGGTTTATTTGCCAGAGAGGAATGGAGGGCTGTGGTCTGCCGATGGACATTTCTATTCCTTTACCTTCCCTGACACACCTGACAGGTGAAACTCGAGTGGGCTGTGCACCCCAGACCTCAGGGTGGACTTTGGACTATTCTTCAAGTTCAGAGATTCCCCCACCCTGCTGTTAGCCCCCTGCAGAGAGCACTTAAGAGGAAAATGTATGAGAATGTGTTCCTAGGGGACAGCATTCAAACCCAGCCCATCTCATTTGTAGAAAAGGAGGTAGATTAGGTGCTTTTTGTGCAGTGTAAAATTCAAGACTTCATTTAAAGGCGGTACTTATGGAATCCTCGGTTAACTGATTTCTCTTGCTGTCACCCTGAGGGGAACAGATGAGAAGGTACTTTACTATTCACAATCTGCCCGCTTCGAGGTTGTGATCCTGAGGTCATGGTATCCCTCGAGAGCCCAGCAGTGTGTTAAACCTGCAGAGAGCCAGGGCTGTGGTCATCCTAGGGAGATGTGCTTGACTGCAGGGGACAAGGGGCTGGGGAGAGTCAGGAACTGCCTGAATGTGACAGGTGTGGGGAGCAATTCATTGTAAAGGAGTGCAGAAAAGAGATGGCTCCAGGGTGAGGGAAGGACAGAGCTGGCAGCTCTTTGGAAGCTGGGGAAGGTAGTTAGACTCAATCCCCAGGGCTGTTGAGCGCCAGTGGCCTCAGGTCTGACTTTTCCAGATGCTGCTAAGTTCTTGGTTCCTAATGGATCGTTAGCCGGTACCATCTCTACTCTGATCAGTGGACTTTGTTCTTAGATGTTAGAAATCTGTTTTTTTCCTGCTGCTGCTCTGTGTTCATGGGTCTCGTGTACTCTCCCAACTAGCTGGTGACTTTTTTTCTTCTTTTTAAGATTTATTTATTTATGTATACAAGAACTGGGGTACAGGCCAGAGGTACAGGGGGTGAGAGGATTCACCAGAGCCAGAGCGGGGAACAGAACAGGCAGACTGACTGAAATACACTGCTGAGGGGAGCAGCGGACGAGACAGGAGAGGTCTGCTGTGCCATGTGGGTAGCTCCCTGGCCAGCCAGGGATTGAACTCGTGCTGCAGAGGCTACGGACAGCTTCACAGCGCTGTGCTTAACCCCTTGCATTACCAGGGAGGCCCAGCTGGTGACTTTTGATTATTCTGCCCAGGTCCTTTGGCGCGGAGTAGAGAGGTAACGATCAAGTATTTTCCTTGTCTGCCTTTAGTCTTTCTTTTTCCCCACTGGTTTAGCACAAGGAGTCAAACATCTGTGCCTTGTCTCTGACGGGGGCTCTTCCCCACTCTAAGTGACCCTCTCTTCCCTGCTCCACCAGGTACGGGAACACAAAGACAAACACAGTCATCCTGTCAGTGCCTTTTTATTTTCATCTGTCTTATACCCCTCAGGGCCCACCACCCCAGCTGGGATCAACAGGATGTTTCGACTGAGTTATTGGTGAAGCTTTGAGCTCGTTATCATTGGAGTTTCTGAGCAAAATTCAGGACTTCATTTAAAGGCATTATTTATGAATACTTGGCTAATTGATTTCTCCTGCTGTCATCCCGATCAAGGGGAATAAAAACAGATCCTGTTGTGTTGTGCGTCGCAATTCCTTATGATGACATGTGGCCTTTCTTGATTATCTCATGTGCCTGAAAAATGAAAAACAAAAGCATTTATCTTAGGGAACCTTCGGTGACAGTTTCTATTTAACTTGGCTTAACGACGACTTCAAACGGTCGCTGTGTAGAGAGAGCTCCTGATTAAAGAAACTCTCTGACTGATGTGGTGTGTTTCTCATCGTAACTCCTTAAGATCTGGAAGTGCATGTTGTTCTCAGTGGGCCCACTGGAGGTTGTGGGGTGTCTTCTGTGACAGGGTTGTGTTCAAGGCGGGTTAAGGGAAAGTCCTAGCCCATGGGGGTGCTGGGGAGGAGATGAGCAGAAAGGATGACCAGCACCCCAGAGAAGTGTGTGGGTGCTGTTGGGCCAGAGGAAGCCCTGCCTCGCTGTGAGAGGGGGTGCAGCCCAGGACGCGTGTTGTGTTGTGTAGCCTGGTGACAAACTTCCCAGGGAATGAAGAGAAAATGGCCGAGTAGAAGATCCTCTGGAAGAAAACCCGGGAGGAGCAACCGCCGAGGCTGAAGGAGAACTGGAGAGGGGGTGCAGAGAGGAGCGTGGCTGTTCTCCGGGGGGCCGTGTGCACCGCCATCCTGGGGGAGGCCCGTGATGTCGGTTTACTGTGGGTTCTGGGAAGTCCCAGGGAAGGTATTTCTTGTGTGGGGAATGCAGCCTGGCGCCTGCCCGGGTAGTTGGAGCCGAGCGGGGCCGTGGCTGTGTGGGAGACATGCGTGGGTGTGGCTGCGCGCGTGACTGTCGGCGCGGGAGTGTGTAGTGTGACTATGCGCGCTGTGTGTCACGGGGCTCGTGTTCTAGACAAGATTGCAGCCTGGTCTGACCCGCCCTCAGTACAGCCCCACAGTGGTGCCTTTGGGGTGTCTCCGTCTCTGTCCCGAGGGCACAACGGGGCACCCCCTGTGCTCCCCTCTGAGCACGCACATTCCGGCTTGCACCTCTGGCTAGGGTGCTTCCAAGATCACCGGTGCTTTCCTGTGTCTGCTTGAGCATTTCTTGCAGATATGAATAATTCTTGTTTTCTGGTCTCTTTCATCCTCGCGCTCTCTCCGAGGAGATCTCGGGTTTCCTTAAGGTTCCTGCTCAGGCATCACTTTCTCCCCTGCCTTCTCTGCTGGGGGGTGTGTCACTGCGCCAACAGTTACATTCAATTAGCTAAGCTTTTTTTTTTTCTATCAAATTTCTTTTTCTTTTAGAGCTTAGTTCATTCATGCATTTAGTCACGCAGCAATGCAACTTCCTCATTTTATCCTCATCCTTATTCTACATCCTCCTGTAAAAATGCAACTTTCTAAGTAGATCTTCATTCATCTCAAAAGGTACACATTTCTCAGACCTGTGCTGGGTCCCCGGGAGCTTTCTGCACACCCCGAAGGGATTTAGTTAGAACCACTGGCACAGAGAGAGACCTTCATGCCATGGGCCCCCGGGGCTGTGGAGACCTGCTACTCCTGGTGCCCGAGGGAGGCCAGGTAGAGCCCCCGAGGAAGCCTGAATTGGGTCAGAAAGCGCTATGACGGGTTTTCTAGGAAAAGAGCAAAGGTGGGGGTGGGCTGTGCCAAATCAGCCGGCGCTTGTGCAGAAGACATGAAGTTGTGCTTTGTGAGTTGATGAGAAACCCAGTCATTGAGCCCCAGGGTGTGCCTGGGGACCTGAGTCTAATGTGGGAACGGCAGCTTTCTGCGCGACTCCGAGGAACTTTCTGTGCTGAGACGGGCTCTGGATGTCATATTAAGGCCACACAGGCTTTTATTGTTTCCAGGAGGGAATGAAGGAGGACAGGCGGTGATCCTAGATGGTCCCTGCTTATTGGAAACACAAAACTGAAATGAAGACAAATGCTCATTTCTAGCAACTTAATCTCAACTGAGTTTTCTTACTTTTTATATTAGAAGTATTATTATGTCACTAACTGTGTGGCAGGTTGAGACTAACTGTATGTAACACAGTTGCTAAGGCTGCAGTTACTACCATCACTAATGGTGGAGCAAAATACAGGGGGGTGTACTCTTCATATTTCATCATCATTTGTGACTAGTTTTGAGTGCAGTCTGGAAACAGTATTAGGGTTTTGGAAGGCCAGGATCCAGCCTCTTGATTTAAAGATGAGGGAATGGGGCCTCCCTGGTGGTGCAGGTGGTTGAGCGCAGCGCTGTGAAGCTGTCCGCAGCCTCTGCAGTGTGGGTTCGATTCCCAGTAGGCGAGGGAGATACCCACATGGCACGGCAGACCTCTCCTGCCTCGCCCGCTGCTCCCCTCAGCAGTGTCTTCAGTCCGTCTGCCTGTTCTGCTCCCTGCTCTGTCTCTGGTGAATCCTCTTACCCTCCTGTGCCTCTGGCCTGTACCCCAGCTCTTGTATAAAAAATAAATCTTTAAAAAATAAATAAAGATGAGGGAATGGTAACGCACACTGGAAGGTGTGGGCTTGCCCTCTGCCTGCATAGTCTGAATGTACAATGTATTAGTAGTTACCTAGTATTTTGCAGCAGCTAGTTCCTTCTAGGAATAACTATTGACTCAAGCAGAAGAAAAGTGTCTGCCAGCACTAGGTTACTTTGTTCTTTAAGGATTTGTAACCTTTACTTTCTGTCCTTAATGAGTAACCCAGCTTGCCAGGAAGCCTCTAGTTTCTACTGCTTAGGGACCATTGAGGGTAATGACAAAGCAAAACGGTAACCCCGAAACTACTGTGGAAAAACTTCGTGAGCTATAAAATGTGCCTCTGATTCCAGACAAATACTCTGAAATGTCTTTTATGTTAAGTGAGAGATAAAATGCCATGTTTTTATGTTGGGTGAAAGGGGGAGACCAAAAGGTGATTGGCAAATAATCCTTGAATTTGGCATATAAATGTGAATAAATTAAAACAAAGTCTCAAAAAATAAAATTAAAATGAGGACTTTCTCTCAGTTTGGTGGAGTTGCTATGTATTAGCAACAAGTACAGTAGCTGTTCTGTGATGAAGTTACTCTGCTTCCAATCCATTTGGTCTTGAAATTAAAGGGATACAACAGCTCAGATCAAGAGTAATTACATTGTCATCTTACAGTGATAATCATATTTTAACTTTTAGTAGTATTTCATGTAAAAGTATTACCGTCTTTCAAACATGGGAAATCACCTACTGTAGTATATTCAGAGATCAAAGCTATTTTGAAGCAATGCATTTGATTTCAAAACACAAGTTTGTGGGAAAATAGAATTCACTTAATAGTTAAGAATTTATATATTTAAATTCAGTTATTACTGAAATTTATCTGTTTTCTCTGGAGATTGAAAACCTTGTAAAAAATTTTGAAATGGAAAAGAGTTTCTAGAATAAAAAAATATAAATCATTTATTTCTTAATATTAGGTATAAGTGAATATATTCTAGAATGAACGAACATTTACTTTTAACTACTTATATATTACTACTTCTATATATGCACTCTAATCCAGAAATCTCTCCAAAAATCCTAACAGCTGTGTAAAATGTACTCAAATTAGGAATAGAAAATAGATCATGTAACTTCGTCCTTTTTATTTCACTTCCCAATCTCCTAGATAATTTCCATGCATTCACAGAAGGCTTGAGAAACTCCTCTTAATCCACTGAAGCTCCTAATTTTATTTTGAGATAGGTGACAGTCCATCTGCGTGCATCTCAGGAAATGCTAGTCAATTTCTTGCGTGTTTCCGCTGTGTCAACTGTGACACCTTCAGCCATCCACTCACATCATTTCACCTAGCCATTTCAGCAACCCAGAGACACTCATGTCTCAATTAAATAAATACTAAGTAAGGGTTTATTCATAGGAGCTCGAGGTAGGCAGTCTAAGCCCACTGTGGAAGCTTCACAAGGTTTTCAAGATTCCCTTAATGTTTCTGTTCTCCACTCAGCAGCTGGCTTCTGTTGCCAAGGTTCCAGTGTCCCAGCTCAGAATACATGTTGGTCCTCTTGCCTTCACCTCCTCATTCCAGGTAACATGAAAGAGGAAGCAGGGAGAGGGCAATAGGATGTGCCTGAGTCCATTCCCTTCCATGAAGAAACTTTCTTGAAGTCCCCAACAGCTTACCTCATTGCCCAGAACCATGCCACATGCCCACACGCAGCTATAAGGATTTTGGAGCAGTCGTCTCTTAAGCTTATCATTTTTAAAAGGCTGTTGCCATACTTACAAAAATCAGTTTGTTTTACTAAAGGGAGGGGGGAGATATAATATATAAGGTAGGTGTTTCCCCAATGTTGTCAACCAGCCCAAATTTCATTTTGTTTTCTGTCTTTATTTTTTAAGATTTATTTATGCAAGAACCAGGGTACAGGCCAGATGCACGGGAGGGTGAGAGAATTCACCAGAGCGGGGAACAGAACAGGCATCCTGATGAAACACACTGCTGAGGGTAGCAGCGGGCGCAGCAGGAGAGGTCTGTCGTGCCATGTGGGACCCTCGCCTGTGGCCAGGGATGGAACCAGTGCTGCAGAGGCTGCAGGCAGCTTCGCAGCCCTGTGCTCAACCGCCGCGCCACCGGGAGGCCCTTGTTTTCTTTCTGAACTGTGTTTCCATACCTGTTCAGGCTGAGCTCCCTTCTCTGCTGCCCTGCCTTCCCCACATAGCTCCTCCCTTGTCTCTGACCAGCCAGCCCATGGCTGGGCCCAGGATCCCTGCTGAGTCTGCGTTGCATGCTCCATCTCACCCCGTACAGTCCCTTGTCACTCTCATTCCACATACTGGAGAAGACGCCTTGATCCTTGGTGGAATGTCAGGGCCTACTTGGCACACAATAGGATGTTGTTAGGCATTTGTTCAAATGACCACTGAGTGCCAGTTGGTGATAGGTGTAAACCCCAGGGGTGTAGTTGGCGGTGTTCACCTGCACAGTCTCTGTGTAGCTGGCTCCGTGATGGACACTTGGCAGCCTCTGACCTGACCCTGGCGGCCTTAGATCAGGTACCCAGGGGTTAAGAGAACATCTCCCAGCCGTGGGCAGCCTGTTTGTAAAAGCACTGCGGGTGTTTCAGAGCTGTCTGCTCAACTCCTTGAACTCGGTACATTGACAGAGAGCTTGTATAGAGCAGCTTGTAGATTTAACTGAAATAAAACTCTATAAATATTTAGCATTTAAGCTGATGGCTGCTTCACCACCATTATATTATCTTTCGACTTTAATAATATGCTTCAGAGTGTGAAAGAAAGTACATGCTGTCTGCAACATATAAAGAGAATTTTTCTTTGTTTTTAAGATAGGCAATATACAATTAATTTTTAAAGAAATAGGGCCATTCTTAGAGGAGTAACACATTGTCTATACTATTTTCTCTCTGAGTCGGAATTTTATATTCATCTTGCACCCTATTCAGGGGGGTTTAATTACCGAAGTATCATAACAATCTTGAAATAAAAGACTGTCTGGGTGATATTCCCAGTGGAGTTCAAGAACAATGCTTTGTGGAGGTTCTTACTTACTTTCTTTTCTTCATAAAAGCATCTCAATTATATTTTCATAATGTGTGTGCTTTCCTCAGTTTGAATTACCTTATGCATATGCATGCTATGATAATAAATAAAAGGAAGCAGGTTATTATCCTATACAAAATGCCCTTACTGAATTCTTACCATGCGTGAGGACTGTAGGCAGCGAGCCCCTGTCTGGAGGAGGAGGGTCTCTCCTGCTGGGGGTCCAGGAGGTTGGCTGAGGGGGGCTAATGTGACAGGAGTCACATAGCCAGTTGTGGCAGTGCTGGTGGCCTCATTACTGCCAGAGGTTTTGTTCCTTATGGCTATGTCTATAGCCGTATGCATGTGCTTTAGGGTATGTGCCACGTTGTAGAAATCCATTAATCTTTTATGAAAACTCTTAAGAAAACTGGGGTGCATGTCCTGTCAAGTTCAAAAAACAGCCAGCCCATTGCTGGCATAGTACCTCCTGAGTCCCCCGGAACGCACAACTGCAGGCTCCTCAGGAACCATGCTGGCCGTGTAGGTAGCACATGAATGCTTAAAGAGATGTTCCTCGTGACTGCCAGCAAGTCACCCTGCCAAGAAAATGACTCAGACATTTGACCTCTACAGACATTTTCCCATTGCTTGCAATTTTAAGCTATTTTCACTAAAATACTGCTGATACTTTGAAAGCTACCAGAGAGGGATACTTGATGTTCCTTATAATCCATTTGAATAAGTGAAATTTCAGTGTAAGCAGAGACATTTCTCACATTTCACCCAAGTCCCTCAGATTGCACTTTCTCTGAGCCACGGAAGTGAAAGCTGCTTATTCAATGTAAGAACCTTTGAGATCTTTGAAGAGGCCCATGTTAGGTATACTCTTTATCCAGGGAGACTCATCGAGGCCAAGAATGGCCCCCAGTAGGTCCACGACAGGTTGATAGCAAGGTCAGTGGTCAGACCCTGGGGCCGTGGCTTGGAAGGGCCTCCTCGTCGGACATCCTGCCCCTCAAGAGGTTGAGAGTTCCTCTAAGGGGCTGGATTGCAGTATTTGTACGCATCGTAGTGAAATTTATTCTGAAATCCGTGAAAGAAACAGAGGGCCTTTAGGAGAGAGGTCGTTTTGGTTTCAGCTTAAAACATGACAGTTTCCTTTTTCTCTATGAAAGAGACTTATTCTTCGATTTCTTCAGTTTTTAACTTCATGAGAGGCAGTTCACACCACAAACATCATTTATAATTGTACCCAAGCCACAGTGTATTGAAGTTAAAAATTACACCTCCCTCGAGAAACACTGACCCTCCAGTTATCTTTTTCTTCACTTTCTGCTTAAGAGTAAATCTTCATTTGCCGTGAGGTGAGCACCCAGCACGCCGAGGCCACTCAGCACACTGCTCGTGGAGTCTGTGCTTGGCCTCTGTGCTCTTCTGTTTCATTTCTGTTCTCAATTGCAATCATCCCTGTATATCACAGATTGGGGTATTTTTCAGTCAAGTCCTATTTCTTGTGTCTAGTTTCCATTTGGTAAATCTCCTTTTAGGAAATCTGTAATGTGCACATTACCCTTTGCTGTGAGTTCAGGATTTCGAGAATGTGTTTAGGTGTGGAGATGAAAAGGTTAGTGTCCTGCCTGTTATGCAACACTAGGTGGAATTTGGGGGGTGGCATGAAGGTGCTGTTTGGTGGGAAAGCAAAAGGTGAGAGAGGAGCAGACCAGGTTCTGTGATGGCGCGTCCTTGCAAAGTGAACAAGAGGCCCGACTGCAAGAAAAATCAATTGGTATTTTTCATTGTAATGAACTTTTTGGATACTACTCAATTTAAGTGTTCTCCGAAATCACCACTGGGTGTTGGGTGGAATCCGAATGAGAAACAGTAGATTCTAACAGTGATTCTGACGGTGCATATTCTGGCCTTGATGCTGCATTGCAGCAGATGAACAGTGTAGGTCTCAGCCTGAGGTTTGGTGTTCTGGAAATCACAAACCAGCATGAATGGGCGACAGGCCTTGGGGACTCATAATCAGCTTGAACCTCTCACTCAAGGACAGGGGCAAATTGTGGGTGACTTAATCGGCTTGCAAGAAATGGTCGGCATCCATGGGGGAAGTCTAATGGCTTATCGAGAACTAGTTTTAATATGCATCACGCTGAAATAATTTGATTTCATTCCATTTAACGCAAATCTTTGTCATATGCATATATATGCACTCAGATCTACGTGTCTGCATATTACTATCTGTACATACACACACCTTTTTCCAAAATTGGGTTGCAGTTTCAGCTACTCCTTCTATTCAGTGAATGAATGGATTTGGTTCACTGTGCCAGTGTAGGTTAAAATTAACATTTTGCTGAAATGTGATGTGCCTGACTACTTTGGATGTGTTAAATATACTTGGCTTTGTAGTGGCAACAGAAGTGAAAGAACTAAAATTAACATGTGTTTGCAGACATGTAAGCAATGTGTCGCGTCACTGCCAAAGAAGTGACATTCCATCTAGAATATAGTCTTTAACATGCGGGACAGTTTATCACCAAGTAATATATGGCTCAAAAGCTGAATCTTGCATTTTTTAAATATTCAGTTGTGTTTATATTTCCCATTGGCAGGAGATGAGTGAGTTCCCCCACATCTGTGCTGTTCGGCGCTGTTAGCACTACCGTGCTCAATGTCTGCTCCTTCCATGCGATGCTGGGCCCCAGGCCCCAGAAACTCGCTTTATTCCCAACCCTACCCCATTTTTGTGTCTTGAGATGTTGTTCTTCCCCGTCTGGAAAGAGGTCTTTGGAGATTGGTTTTGTACTTTATTTGGGAGGAAAGAAATACATGCACTCACCAATCTCTCCCCAAGCATTTGGGCCTCATGACGTAGTGCCTTCAGGTGCAAAGAAATAATTGAGTTCACTGAATCTTCTGCACAGTGTATTGTTTATGTTGATTGGACTTATAGAATCTGTGGCTTCTAGTAGGAAAACTGTTGCAACTGCACCTATGAAAGAAGAGAGAGAACAGATATTTTAGAGATGGTACTGGCAGTTCTTTTCTTACATGTTAGCACACTCTGAAGGCAGTGGTGCATCCAAAACCAAGGAACAAATGTGTAAAGAATCAAAACAATAAAACATACTATCTCAGGGGGCCTCCCCGATGGCGCAAGGGGTTAAGATGCAACCTATGAAGCTATCCGCAGCCACTGCAGCATGAGTTCGATCCCCGGCCAGGGAGATACCCGCATGGTGCTGCAGACCTCTCCTGTCTCGCCTGCTGCTCCCCTCAGCAGTGCATTACGTTAGTCTGCCTGTTCTGCTCCCTGCTCTGTCTCTGATGAATCCTCTCACCCCCCACACCTCTGGCCTGCACCCCAGTTCTTGTATGCATAAATAAATAAATCTTTAAAAAAAAAATAACAAAGCATACTATCTCAGTATGAGAAGGAAAGGTTCAAAAGAGCTGGATGATATGATAGTTCTATTTTAATTTTTTGAAGCTTCTCCATAGTGTTTTCCATAGAAGCTAAGACAGTTGACATTCCCAACAATAGTATGTGAGAGCTCCTTTTTCTCTGCACGCTTGCCAATGGTTTTTGTAGTCTTTTTGATACAGGCCCGTCTCATAGACGTGAGGTGAAATCACATTGTGTTTTTGATTTTCATTTCCCTAATTACCAGAGACAGAGAACATCTCTCTGTGTGCCCGTTTACCATCTGTTTGTCGTCTTTGGAATGTGTCTATTCAGATCCTTTGCCCAAATTTTAATCAATTGGTTTTTTGTTGTTGTTGTTGTATAAGTTCTTTACAGATTTTGGATATTAACTCCTCATGGGACATTTGACTCACAGATATTTTCTCCCGTTCAGTAGATGGCCTTTTCCTCTCTGTGGCGGTTTTCATTTCGCTGTTGAGAAGTATTTAGTTCCACGTGTCCCATTTGTTTCTATTGCTTTTGTTTCCCTCTAACAGGAATCAAGTACACAAATGCCCCCTTTGAGGCTGGCATAATGGAACATACACCCAATGTTTTCTTCTAGGAACGTGATGGTTTCAGGTCTTATATATACAGGCCTTTTCATCGATTTTGAAGTGTTATGAATAGTTTTAGTGATCTAGTTTTGATCCTCCGCATGTCCAGTTTATTTCAGCACCATTTATTGAGGAAACATTCCTTGCTCCTTCTTAAACTCATGGTTCCTTTGCTGTGAGCCAGCTGTCCGCATATGGGTAGGTTACTTTCTGGACTTACAGTGTTATCCAGGTTATCTGTATGGCTGCTTTTATTACTATCATCTTGTTTGTAAGAGGGGAATGTGATTCCTCCATTTTTCTTTGAGAATTGCTTTGACTATTTAGGGTCTTTTGTGGTTCTTTACAAGTTTTTGTATAGTTCTAGTGTCCCATTTCCTTGAAAATTGGAATGTTCATAGGGATTGTGTTGATTCTGTGTAACGCTTTAGGTAAAATGACCATTTTAACAAGGGTAATTTTTCCAGCCCATGAACACAGAATATTTCCCCAGTTCATTGTATCTTCTGTTTCTTTTAACAATATCTTACACTTTTCAGTGTACACATCTTTCACTTCCTTTGTTAAATTTATTCCAGGGATTTTATCTTTTCAATAAAAAAATTTTCTTCTAATTCATTGTGTATAGAAATGAAGCTTTTTTTTTTTTTTTTGGTCACATCTTAGGGTTTTCTGTGTATATTATTATGTCTTCTGCAAACAGAGACAGTTTTGCTTCCTCAGTTTGGTTTTGTTCAATATCTTTTTCACTTCTCATTGCCCTGAGGAGGTCTTATAAAACGTTGTTGAGCAGTAATCATGAGAGTGGGCATCCTTGTCCATTTCTTTGGGAAAAAGCTTTCCATTCTTCACCATTTAGTATGTTAGCTGTGGGTTTGTCATTTATGGTTTTTATTTTGTTGAAATAAGTTCCTTCTTTTCCCATATCATTGACGGTTTTACCATAAATGGATGTTGAATCTTGTCAAATACTTTTTCTGCATCAATCAATATGACCATGAAATCGTATCTTTCCCTTTGTTGATGGGGTGAATTAAACTTACTGACTTGTGTGTGTGTTGAAGCATCCTTGTATCACTGGAATAAATCCCACTGGTGATGCATTGTTGACGTCAACTTGTGAAGATTTTAAGAGTTGTGTATCTGTTCATTGGTGATGTTGGTCTATAATTTTCTTTTTTTGAGCTGCCCTTGTCTGCTTGAGGGAATCAGGTCAACGCTGGCCTCATAAAATATGTTTGGAGCAATCTCCGCGCTCCAATTTTTTTGGTTGTTGGTGGTGTTTGTGTGTTTTATTGGAATAGTTTGAGAAAAATTAGATCTTTGAAATTTGGTAGCATTTACTAGTGATGCCACTGGACCCCTGGCTTTTGATTACTGTTTTAACTTACTTGCTCATGATTGCTGTGATCAAGTTTCTATTTCCTCCTGATTCAGACTTGCTCCTTTGTACCAGCGCAGGCCCCACAAAGCCTGTGTTCCAGGTGCACCCCCTGGAAATACTGGTTTCTGGTGCCAGCAAGAGCTTTCTCTGACATCTTTAATGACCAGGCTGCTCGGTGCCATGTGCTGCTGCCATCCACACTAGCCAGACTCAGCCTCTGGCCCCTGGCCTCATCTCCCAGTCTTGGCATGCTGTGTGGGCCTTCACCTCAGCTGTGGGTTTTGCTGGGGCTGGGTGTGCATGGGTCACTCTCCATCTTCCTGTGGGTGTGTCTGTGGCACCGTCTTCCCTTTACAGGCCCCGCCACTCCCTGGAGGCTGGCCCTGGCCACCTGCAGAAATACACGTGTGGGGCAGCCACGCATCCTCAGGTGATGAACTGTTGAGAACTGTAAATTATAGCTGGTTTCTGTTAGTGGTTTCAAGCTGAGGGCTACCAGGAGCTGCTTATTCTGTCAGTCGGTGACTTCCCTGTCTTAGAGGATCCTTGAACCAGGCATTAAGACAGCCTGTTAATTCCTAAATTCAAGTGATGCTCTTTAATAGAGAAGCCCACTTGTCACTATCAAGTGCCGCATTACGGAGTTTCCTGGAATGTAGCACTTTCAGAGCTAAGCCATAAATGGGGACAGCTGTTCGCAATAGTCATGGTTCTCGAATGATCATTAAGAACCCTTTTTTTAAAAGATTTATTTATTTATTTATACAAGCACTGGGTACAGTCAGAAACGTGGGAAGGTGAGAGGATTCACCAGAGCCAGAGCGGGGAACAGAACAGGCAGACTGACGAAGTACACTGCTGAGGGGAGCAGCGGGCGGCAGGAGAGGTCTGCGCACCATGTGGGACCCTCGCAGGCAGCCAGGGATGGAATCAGCGCTGCAGAGGCTGCGGGCAGCTTCGCAGACCAGCGCGTAACCGCTGCGCCACCAGGGGAGGCCCAAGAACCCTTTTTGAGGTTGAATGAATTAGATGTCTCTTCCTAAATGAAGGGGATTAATGAGAATGCCCTTCGCAGCAACATTCGGAACCCCAAACAATGGGAATCTAGTAGGTAGAAGGTCATCGTTGTTGAGGAAAAAAAGTGAACCGGGCCATTGTACTTGGGTGTAGGAGCGGTATTGGGCAGGAGGTGAAGGTGCCTGCTGGCGCCAGAGGTCACAGCTTCCCTCCAAAGAACCCCTCATCCTGTAAGAGCGTGTTAAAATTTATTTGCAGAAAATGAACTGTATCAGATGGAAAAAGGGAGAGAGTGAAGATGCTAATGTTTGGGATGAGAATAAAATTCTTTAGTTACCTTTGGGATTAAAATATGCTAATAATATTCAAATTTGGAGAACGAAAATATCCTTGTTTATTATAGTAACTGGCTGTGTCACCTTTTACCCCTGGTTTTATTTTGTTTTCTTTTTGTGGAAACATTTGATGACTTAAGCACATTCCAACCTAGCATGGTCTCTGCCCTCACCTGGGCCAACAGGCTGCTGTTCCTGCCTCTCGGAGGCCTCCCGGGTGGGTCTTGCTGTGAGCTCCGCGCTGTCTGGCAGTGCCTGGATGCAGAGGGATTGCTATCGCTGATGCGATTTCCTCTGACTTCTGCCTGCTTCTCCGTGGTTCCGTTTCACCTGTTGACGTGAACTTGGCTGACACGAATGCTCTGTTGGCCACGGGCAAATGGGTTACGTGTGTGGCAGCCCCGTTCTGCTGTGTTTTTATAATTTTCAAAATTGTGTAATGGGAGAAGTATGTTATTTCTTTAGAACTGAATATCCCTTTTCTAAGGTTTTACATTTACATAATTCCTTTCTCCTGCGGACTTGCAAATAAACTTTTTGGTTTTATTCAGAGACGCATTACACTCGCCACCGTGACAGATGTCAGAAAGCACGCTTGTTATTTTTGGAAGTAGGCAAGTTGAATTGAGTTGATTGTCTGTGGACTGATCAGATCTGACTTGTATATATTTATGCATACAAGAACTGGGGTGCAGGCCAGAGATGCAGGGGGTGAGAGGATTCACCAGAGACAGAGTGGGGAGCAGAACAGGCAGACTGACTGAAATACACTGCTGAGGGGAGCAGTGGGTGAGACAGGAGAGGTCTGCCGTGCCATGTGGGTTACCTCCCTGGCTGGGGATTAAACTCTTGCTGCAGTGGCTGTGAATAGCATCGTAGTGCTGAGACTTAATCCCTTGTGCCACTAGGGAGGCCCATCAGCTTCTGAGACGGTGTCTTGCTCAACAGCAATGAGGACTTTCACTGGTGAATTTACCCCGTTACATCATCTGGTCATGGGAATTATCCTGATTTCAACTAACCTCCTTGTAAATAGAGGCTGAAACATTTCAACTAATTGGCATGTAATCTTAAAAGTGCTAGTTCAGATGCAGGGAAGGAACTTTTTAGAGGAAGGATTTAATATTATCCATCCTGAGTTTGCCTTTGGTTGTAGATTTCTGTGTCTGAGACTATCAAGTCTTCAGGAACATTTCATTGGTAAATGAAACTCTGGAACTTGCAGGAAATAAC